AAGTAAGTAAGTAAGTAAGTAAGTAAGTAAGTAAGTAAGTAAGTAAGTAAGTAAGTAAGTAAGTAAGTAAGTAAGTAAGTAAGTAAGTAAGTAAGTAAGTAAGTAAGTAAGTAAGTAAGTAAGTAAGTAAGTAAGTAAGTAAGTAAGTAAGTAAGTAAGTAAGTAAGTAAGTAAGTAAGTAAGTAAGTAAGTAAGTAAGTAAGTAAGTAAGTAAGTAAGTAAGTAAGTAAGTAAGTAAGTAAGTAAGTAAGTAAGTAAGTAAGTAAGTAAGTAAGTAAGTAAGTAAGTAAGTAAGTAAGTAAGTAAGTAAGTAAGTAAGTAAGTAAGTAAGTAAGTAAGTAAGTAAGTAAGTAAGTAAGTAAGTAAGTAAGTAAGTAAGTAAGTAAGTAAGTAAGTAAGTAAGTAAGTAAGTAAGTAAGTAAGTAAGTAAGTAAGTAAGTAAGTAAGTAAGTAAGTAAGTAAGTAAGTAAGTAAGTAAGTAAGTAAGTAAGTAAGTAAGTAAGTAAGTAAGTAAGTAAGTAAGTAAGTAAGTAAGTAAGTAAGTAAGTAAGTAAGTAAGTAAGTAAGTAAGTAAGTAAGTAAGTAAGTAAGTAAGTAAGTAAGTAAGTAAGTAAGTAAGTAAGTAAGTAAGTAAGTAAGTAAGTAAGTAAGTAAGTAAGTAAGTAAGTAAGTAAGTAAGTAAGTAAGTAAGTAAGTAAGTAAGTAAGTAAGTAAGTAAGTAAGTAAGTAAGTAAGTAAGTAAGTAAGTAAGTAAGTAAGTAAGTAAGTAAGTAAGTAAGTAAGTAAGTAAGTAAGTAAGTAAGTAAGTAAGTAAGTAAGTAAGTAAGTAAGTAAGTAAGTAAGTAAGTAAGTAAGTAAGTAAGTAAGTAAGTAAGTAAGTAAGTAAGTAAGTAAGTAAGTAAGTAAGTAAGTAAGTAAGTAAGTAAGTAAGTAAGTAAGTAAGTAAGTAAGTAAGTAAGTAAGTAAGTAAGTAAGTAAGTAAGTAAGTAAGTAAGTAAGTAAGTAAGTAAGTAAGTAAGTAAGTAAGTAAGTAAGTAAGTAAGTAAGTAAGTAAGTAAGTAAGTAAGTAAGTAAGTAAGTAAGTAAGTAAGTAAGTAAGTAAGTAAGTAAGTAAGTAAGTAAGTAAGTAAGTAAGTAAGTAAGTAAGTAAGTAAGTAAGTAAGTAAGTAAGTAAGTAAGTAAGTAAGTAAGTAAGTAAGTAAGTAAGTAAGTAAGTAAGTAAGTAAGTAAGTAAGTAAGTAAGTAAGTAAGTAAGTAAGTAAGTAAGTAAGTAAGTAAGTAAGTAAGTAAGTAAGTAAGTAAGTAAGTAAGTAAGTAAGTAAGTAAGTAAGTAAGTAAGTAAGTAAGTAAGTAAGTAAGTAAGTAAGTAAGTAAGTAAGTAAGTAAGTAAGTAAGTAAGTAAGTAAGTAAGTAAGTAAGTAAGTAAGTAAGTAAGTAAGTAAGTAAGTAAGTAAGTAAGTAAGTAAGTAAGTAAGTAAGTAAGTAAGTAAGTAAGTAAGTAAGTAAGTAAGTAAGTAAGTAAGTAAGTAAGTAAGTAAGTAAGTAAGTAAGTAAGTAAGTAAGTAAGTAAGTAAGTAAGTAAGTAAGTAAGTAAGTAAGTAAGTAAGTAAGTAAGTAAGTAAGTAAGTAAGTAAGTAAGTAAGTAAGTAAGTAAGTAAGTAAGTAAGTAAGTAAGTAAGTAAGTAAGTAAGTAAGTAAGTAAGTAAGTAAGTAAGTTTACTGCATGGTAATATCATTTCAACTGTAATTTCTAGAATGTCTCATTAGTAAGTGAAAGATGACTGTTCTTGACAAGAGGGCGTTTTAATTTTGAAAAGAAGTTAAAACGAGAAACGTCAGTTTTGTAGGTTATAGGTAACTTGCATATTTGCTCTAACTAGAAACTATTAACCGGAAGGAAAAAAAAAGGTAAATCAAGGTTGGCCCAGAGAGTGTTATAATTAATCGAGTTCATGTACAGGGGGTTACAGCAGTCAACCATAATGAATGTTCCAACTACAAGAAGATTAGTAAAGCCTTTATTAAGGCTTATTGATTTCTGGTAATAAAGGGGTATAAATGAAGTATATCTGGGAAGTAAAAAGTGGGCGGGGGGGGTTGGAAATGATAATACATAGAAATGGCATCGAAAGATATTGGTAGGACAATAAAGTGTATTTTAAGTTACGACGCACGTAGATGAGTTCTATAGTATGATCGGAAAAACTCAACAGTAGTTGATTTGAAGTAGATTTTAAATTTCCTTGCGAATATTTATCAGCTTGAATTTTTTTGTCTTGATGGGTCGCTTCATTTCTTTTCTATTCAGATTTTCGTGTGCTATGTTACACTAAGTTAATTCAATTTTGAGATTTCTGAATCCATCTTCATGTTTTTTGTTCTTTTTGTATATCAACTATACTACTTACAAAGCTTCAGTAACTTGTTTTTTAACAGTCATTTTTGAATGTTATAAAAATTATGAACGGATCTTCGTTGAACCACCATTGAAAACCTTGAGGCACTGGACGGCCATTTTGTACTAATATGGGACTCCTTAGCAATGTGCATCCATGATCTGCACGTGGGATTCAAACACAGGACCTTCGATGTCGCGCGCGAACGCTTAACAAATAGACCAGTGAGCTGGTATTCAACAGTGTCAACGTCTAACTTCAACCAATCCATGATGTCGCGTGACCATCTTCAATTGTGTTTGGTGGGTAACTGCCTCACACCCAACACGACTCAACTCCACCGATCACGGTGTCTCACTAAAATTCCGAGAATCACCTCTCGATCTAGTCACTAGTGAGCGCATGATAATTTTCAGTTTGGCGTTGTGAAGATTGTTGGGTTCCATTGAAATCATGAACTGAATTAACTTGGATCGGTTGTTAAAATTTATTCAATATTTTGGCCAACTGGCTCTTTATTATAAATTTTCGAGAGAATTCTGGAAAACGATGGATCATGGTTTGATTTACAGAATCAGACAATTGCCAGTAGTACTATTATATTCCAGAAATTTCTAAAGTCTCACAGTCACATATACCACTATGAATAACCATTTTTCTATAAATAAACTACCTTCCAATTAAATCTTCATAGTTCTCGACTTTTCTTTCCTTTTCAGGAGTCAAGAATGGAAGATATTTGTTGACTAAAATGCAGTTTGGAAGTCGGTATCTAAGCATTTAAGTAATAATTATAATACAAATACCAGACAACAAAATTAATCAAAATGTTAATCGTAAATTCATTCTCCGTATTTCGTTTGATCAATAATATGAACTTAGTTATTGTATCACCTGATAAGAATTTATTGAAATAGATTATTATTCGTTCTTCTCTCTTTATTGTAATACAATATAAGTTATTAAGTTATTAAAGTCCAATCGTTAATTAATTCACCTTTAGCCTACAAGTGAATATTGTAAGAAAGTGGTATAAAGTAGTATATAAATTTGATAGTAGTAGTCTATCTGGTTTATAATAAAAAAGGAACAATATTACAGCGATTTGTTGACAATATAAAATTATTATGAATAGAAAAATATCAATAAACGTATCGGATAGGATAAAAGGTAAACTCTTAATTATACTAGATGTACGTGTCGAAAGAGTACCATGTTAGTTAGTTAGTTAGTTAGTTAGTTAGTTAGTTAGTTAGTTAGTTAGTTAGTTAGTTAGTTAGTTAGTTAGTTAGTTAGTTAGTTAGTTAGTTAGTTAGTTAGTTAGTTAGTTAGTTAGTTAGTTAGTTAGTTAGTTAGTTAGTTAGTTAGTTAGTTAGTTAGTTAGTTAGTTAGTTAGTTAGTTAGTTAGTTAGTTAGTTAGTTAGTTAGTTAGTTAGTTAGTTAGTTAGTTAGTTAGTTAGTTAGTTAGTTAGTTAGTTAGTTAGTTAGTTAGTTAGTTAGTTAGTTAGTTAGTTAGTTAGTTAGTTAGTTAGTTAGTTAGTTAGTTAGTTAGTTAGTTAGTTAGTTAGTTAGTTAGTTAGTTAGTTAGTTAGTTAGTTAGTTAGTTAGTTAGTTAGTTAGTTAGTTAGTTAGTTAGTTAGTTAGTTAGTTAGTTAGTTAGTTAGTTAGTTAGTTAGTTAGTTAGTTAGTTAGTTAGTTAGTTAGTTAGTTAGTTAGTTAGTTAGTTAGTTAGTTAGTTAGTTAGTTAGTTAGTTAGTTAGTTAGTTAGTTAGTTAGTTAGTTAGTTAGTTAGTTAGTTAGTTAGTTAGTTAGTTAGTTAGTTAGTTAGTTAGTTAGTTAGTTAGTTAGTTAGTTAGTTAGTTAGTTAGTTAGTTAGTTAGTTAGTTAGTTAGTTAGTTAGTTAGTTAGTTAGTTAGTTAGTTAGTTAGTTAGTTAGTTAGTTAGTTAGTTAGTTAGTTAGTTAGTTAGTTAGTTAGTTAGTTAGTTAGTTAGTTAGTTAGTTAGTTAGTTAGTTAGTTAGTTAGTTAGTTAGTTAGTTAGTTAGTTAGTTAGTTAGTTAGTTAGTTAGTTAGTTAGTTAGTTAGTTAGTTAGTTAGTTAGTTAGTTAGTTAGTTAGTTAGTTAGTTAGTTAGTTAGTTAGTTAGTTAGTTAGTTAGTTAGTTAGTTAGTTAGTTAGTTAGTTAGTTAGTTAGTTAGTTAGTTAGTTAGTTGTTTATAATGAAGTTTCGTTATAAATTGTAAGCTAAGGAATGACAAGGAATTATGTTATTGCAGTTAGATTCTTATTAGTTATATCATTGATTAAAGGTGAAGATGATCATTAATTGTTGAATTTAGTTTTGATTATAGTCTTAAATGTGAACTAAGTAAATCATACCCAATTCAACACATAGTTTCATTCATAAACAATATCACTTTGTTTTGATATGAAGTGGATTTAGATTATACAATCCATGAAAAGAAATCTCTTTAACTTATCACCCTACAGTGAATTTACCAAAACTCAATTGTAATTGGTTATAACCAAATGATAATACAAATTAAACGATTGGTTATCATGGAGAATCATTGTTGAATTATTTATTTATATACATTTATTTATCATGGGGAAATACACTTACACATTTAAATATTATTTCTAATTAGATTTTGAACAAAAAAAAGCACAAATTTCTTTAATTCACATAATAGTAATTCAATTGTAATCATCAAGGTTAGTTGATTAATATTTAGTTAATTATTATGGTTGGAATCCGAATGTGGGATGGTGGATGTGCACTGATGAGGAGTTATATACTAAGACGAAACGGCTGTCTAATGTTTCCAGGTTTTCAATGGTGGTCTAGCTTACATCGACTTATGAATTCAACTATTAACATAATAATTTAAATGCCGTATATTACATAGAATGATAGTCACGTTGTATTACGTATTGAATGAAGTTGGAAACTGTGAAATGTTCATTAGACGGAACATTAGGGATTTAAATGTAACATGTTAACTGAGAAGCTTGAGTATTTTGAACTTGATACGTGGTAATATTATGGTGTCCAATAGTGAGCAGTCCTAAATTGGGAAGAATAGCTGATTGTTATTCTCTAGTTTTTCACTGGTCGTCCCACCGAAGACAATTTGTAACAAAAACCATTTTAACATTGAAATAATCTCTATGAAGCCTACTAAACGAAATGGCACTTTCTATTGATTCATTCTTTGACGAGAATAGTGTTTTTATTAGCTCATTTGTTATTGTATTATGACAATCAAATGAATAACTGTACAAACATGAGTTATTCTCGTGTGTTAATTAATTCGCTCATTGATTTTAACAGTCACTATAGTTTTTCATCAGTTCTCCAGATAGGAATTAATGTACACTGAAAATTATTTGTAAATTTACGAATTTAGGGATGGTGTACATGGAAGAATGGAAAACACCTTGAAGATTTCAAAGACCAATAATATTATTTATTATGACTAACCGTTCGATTTTGCCTACTACTATTATTATTACTTATTAAAGTTTTTAGAAATTTAGCAAAAGTCGAAAGTAATTTTCCTTATGGACAATTGTTAGATGAGGAGTTATTCGATTAAATGTATCGAACTGGTTCAAACTAAACGTTATGGGTTCGATTTCTTTTTGGGTCATAGTTGTGCACTGTTGAAAATCCAATGCTTCACGGTTTTTAGCAGTTCTCCTTTCATTTGGATTAATGATAAGATGTAACAATAACTACTACTAATATTATTATCATTTTGAAGAGCGCTCTAGAATGCCATATAAAATAAACAATGATTAACCACTGGTTAAATCAATTAGACCTTTGATAATTTTCATCCCAGTCTCAATTACTTTGAGTTTTAGGAGCCTGATTGTACCAACAGGCCTGACAGACTAAGTGTGGCGTAAAAACTGAATTGATAAACTTAATTACTGTTTTCCAATCGATAGGATTTTTCAGAATAGTTTCATTTCTTAGATGGTTTATGCTCAGGATTCAGATCAGTTGATGTAACTTTAAACAATAGCGAATACTGGATAGCTGCTTCATCCTACTATGAGACATTTTAGCAGTACGTATCCACAACCCAACAGAGATAGAACAGGTCCAGCAATGAACATGGCACTTTTCAATGACTGATTTGAAGTCCAGTTTCAATCATTTCACAATATATATTACGACGACAATCCAGTATCATGAGTAAAAATTGTCTCATTTATAATGACATGGTTGAACTCCACCGGTCACGACTACTTATTAGAAATTTGAATTTTCCTCTTATAGCTATCTACAAGTAAACTTATAAAATGTTTTCTAATTAGTAGGTACGTGGAGACCAGTTTAAACTGTAGATGATGTTCACTTTAAACGTCATAAGAGTTACTTTTCACTTTTGCCGTAATTAGTATTAAACTTCTTAGTAAGTGATTGACAAAAGTAATTCATTCTTTTACATAAAACTCAACAGAATAAATAGATTGGTGTTACTAGTTCATTACCAATGAAAGAATGAGTTTATCATTAGTTATTATAAAATTAGATATGCATTTAACATAAATTTTGAGTGTGGTATGTGTATAATTAAATATGAATAATCTCCGATTAACAATGAAGTCCTGTGATTGACATAATGAAACACTAGCCTGCATCATTTTACAGATGGAAGTTATAATCTGACCACGTCATTAATTTTCTTTAGATTGTAATGATCACCTCCTTGTAAAAGACAACTTCAAGTAATGTAAACATATATAAATGTTTTAATGCATCAGCGATTTGAGTTATTATTTACTGTTGAATTGTGAAAGGACTTCATTCATTAGTATCGTGTTTGGATGGAGTACATTGATTTGTAGCGAACCATACTTGACAACAAGGTTAAAGTAACTAATGTGGTTTGTCTCATCTGGATCTACCTAATCTGTGTGTTATTTTACTTATAATAATACAAATCAAAACATATTCACAAAAATGATATTTTGGCGGTAATAATTTTCAATCTGTTGTCAATATGCATTTAGTTACACCATTGTAGTGTTCTGTCGTATTATTTTAATTGAGTTTCACTTGATTATTCTGTAAGCATGAATCTTCTTTTATCTTTTTAAAGACACTTACAACCTTATAGTGTGTAGTAATACTATTACAAACTGTTAAAAAAAAATGAACTATTTTCAATTCGTTAATTTTAAATAAACAACTACTTGTCTATGTGTCAGGGAAAATTTAAAGGTTTGTTTAGTGAACAATTCATCTGCCAAGGTGATTTGAATATAGTCCCTAGTAGTAGGTACTAACCAATACGAGATCTAATCTCATGACTTCATGTAGATTGCCTCAAATCTTAAAACTATAGACTATGTATACAACGATACTTGATCAATCAGCATAGTGAACACATTACAAACTTGATTAATGGAATTTAATTAAAATGTAAAGGTTATATAACATGGAATTGATTGTTTTCCTGTAATATGTACTAGTGTAGTCAGCCTAATTCACATGTCAAATTGGTGAACTGTGATATTCATGAATGAAATACTGGATGGCTAAAGTACAAATTGTACTAAAGTGGAAGATATATCTTATTGATGGGTATCGTAGGGTACAAGTTAGTTTTAACGAAACTGTGATAATTGTACCTAGGAAATACTTGGAAATAATTTTGAAAAACTATCATTTGAGGGTTACTTCATAATTATTTAACAGTGAGAACAGTCTGCAGAAAAGAATTTCAGATTGAAAAAGTATTTGAACTAACGTACATTTTGTTCCTTTTAGTTATGAAAGAAGCCTAGTTGAAAAGACATCATCCTGGAATGAAAGCACCGGCTTCAAGTACATTGTCTTAAAAATGATAACATTATCGGTAAAAATATTCTGTGAGATAAAAAGGAGGAAACTATAAAAAAGACCACATAACTGCTAATAAAATCTGAATTTTGTTTGTCTCCTTAACAAAAAGAGGGATGAGATAATGTCATTGATAAATAAGAGAATTATTAGGTCATTGTAAAATAACCTTATTGTACTGATTTTAGCCAGAATGATGAAAATGACTTATCTGCTAACTCACTTTACTTTAGCTAGAGATTACATCTGCATCTACAGATTAATATTTATTTGAGGAGGAAAGCATATTTTCGAAATGGAAAGAGGACTGCCATGCAAATTTCAGAACTTACCTTCAGAAAGAAAATACAATATTTGGAAGTTTAGTCATTAAATATTTAGTGGAGACAGGATATATAAATTAAAACTTCCGTATACTTGAAGAAATCACCAAAGAAAAACACAGTACTGACCTTATAAATGCATCTTGATCTTGTCTAAATCAGTTAAAATTAATTTCAAATAATTAACTCCTGGTTGGATTGTAGGTGTGCATACAATGGTAAAACGACTATCCGGTGGTACTCTATCTGGTCTGAAAAAACCCACTTGTCATTTAGTTACGGAGTACCTGATTATTGACAATAACTATCATCATTATTAAATTTATCTTTCTTAAGATCATTTTCTTTTCAATTTTGAAGTATTTCGTCCCATAACTCTCACTAGTTAGTAGTTATATTGACTTTTCTATTGTCCTACATTCTATGTTTTGATGTTAATTGGTTCGGCGTAGTCAGCAAGAAACCCGTATAGTAGTGGTTGTATTGTAACAGATAGAATTGGATCAGTACCAATGGTATAGACCAACATAACATTGTTTGCTGCTCAGTGATCGATCAATGTGTCTTGCTGGAGATTAGTCTCAACATCTTATGCTATTGAGCGCGTTGATGCTGGTTCTAATCACACAGGAGGCGACAGTACCTTCAAGGCTTCGTATACACCTTGGTGACAAGTGCGAAGACTAGGCTGTTTGTTTACTCCTGACAGAGTCCAGCTACCTAAAGTTTTTGGCCACATTTTGTTTCGCAGCTAGGAGTAGATTCTAGAACATATATTTCATCCTATTTGGAACTCATCACTATAGTATACCTGCATCACACAAAGACTCGATTCTAGTACTCATCACCCCACTAAGCTATTGAGCTATAATAACCCCCATATTGCTCATATTATCAATGGAAGCAGTGTTCTGACTTCTATTAAATGAACCATTGTGTTTGCAGAGATTGATTACCTTAAGGCATGAATATAAAAAAAGCATTAAAACTAAAGATGAATATTATACATGTGAAACGAGTTATTGGCCATCATTCTTCAGGACTAGGTTCGAAACGCAGTATGAACAACGAAGAGTATGCAACTACATTCAGATGCCGAGTACAGAAGAAGACAAAACATAAGTACATTTGCAGCTGATACTCCAAGTATAAACGATTTGTCAATCGAAATAAGATCTGGACATTCATTTAAGGAATCTACATACTGATCAAATTCACTTCCTGATATTAACATTTAAGATCAGCCATGATTCTAAATATAAAATTTACAAGTGTCTAAAAACCCTTAATGAGTAATATTAGTCGTCATATGCTCATTAGGAATTAATTTAGATTGGTAATCCCAGGAGTTCTATTGAGAATCATTGGCCAGTAGAGTTTAATCGTGTTGAGTGTGAGGTATGATATTGGAGGAAGGTCGAGGTTAAATACGAAGACCATTGGATGTAACTTCGTTGATCTAGAGGTAAATTAATCGTCACGAGATTGATGGTTCTTGTATCTATTCTCGGGCGGGGTCGTGGATGAACGCTGGTGAGGATAACCGTGTTGGATCAAACACGTATCCATTACTTCCCGGTTTTTAATGGTTCTTTAACCAATATCAGTCTGTATTGTTAACTTTTGATTTAATCAATGTCCATAAACCTTTTATTACTGTGGAGACAATGTAATAAACCGTTAAAAATAATGAGAAATCCCTCATTTTATTTTTTGTTTTAGGTTGGTTTCCAATCTTTAATTAACAAATCATGTCATATATTTGTGTGCTTCGTTGTATCCTGGTTCTGGTAAATATTATCATTGGAGTAAGTTATAATAGTTTAAAAATGTTACTTCATTTATCCATTGACGTAATTAATTTTTCTCTCTCCATTAACTACAGAGTATGAGTGATTATACTTGTTCAGATGTAGTCAATGGAAAACAAAAAATCATATTGAGTGTATCTTTAGTTTAGAATTTACTTTCTTATTATGATTCACTGTTTTTTTTCTCACCAGTCAACTTTCATGGTAGGTTGTAGTTAACTATTTTTACACAATAGGTCTAATAGGATGTTTAGCCCAACTACAGAGTGTTCTACTAACATACAGTTATATCATGTTTCAGTGGTTTTAATATGGTTTTAATATGAATAGATCAGAGTCTTGTTTTTAATCCTAGAATATATTCTATTTAGTTAGATATCTGTATTCTTAGTGATCCTGGTCAAAGTACAATGAAAATTCGGGGGTGAAGACGTTGTTAAAAGAGAATGTTCTTTTTTTTGTAGTCAACTTGTTCTTGAAAAAAAAAGAACAGCTTCGCCATGTATTAAATTCAATATGCTTAAATTCAAATTGTGACTCAGAGAGGTAGATCCTACAATCGAAATGATTCTTAATTACAACACATTAATGTAAAACTGTACGAAGTTGTACTTATCTCATTAGTAAAGTGACATTTTTGGTAAACGCCATAGATTGTAGAATTAAATGTTACTTTTATTGATATTTAATGAATATCAGTGTGTTTATCAAACACATTTGGACATTTTTTTTATCTTGGATTCGGTTGATGCAATATTTAGGTACACACAGCCACTTGGTAAATACATTTACTTATCACTGAGTTAAATCAATCGAAATATATAGCCTTATGAATAGACTTGTTATTTATATTCTAAACTCAATGATTACAGTTTACTTATTACTTTTACAGTTATTCTTTGTGGAAATGCGTTGATATGGAATAGTTTACACTTGAAAAAAATATGTCACTTTTTAAGACTGTGTCGTAATGTTACCATGGTGAAGGGAAATCATAACATGTGAAAAACAAATGTGCCAGCTATGAGTGTGTACACGTCATAGTCATCGTTACAATTAACATAATTAACATTTGTATAACCATAGTAATTTTAATGTAGAAATGGAAAGAAATTAGCCGAAATAAAATAAATCCACATGGTTGTAGAATAATAAGTGAGGTCATCAATACTTAATTCAGCATTACTAACACACTCAGTAATTCACACGTACATACACATTTATAGATGGATATCTTTTAATATAATAACAGATACAAATCCGAGGCAAGTATACAGCATTAGACGCAGATGAATAAACAAGATGGTAAATGGTCTAAAAACAAGGCATAAGTGTTGATGTCGATAATATAATATCATATCGTCATGTAAACAATCAATATTCACTTATGTCATTTTAATGTATAATTTGCACTGTCATTATCACTAGTTTGAGGATATTTGATAACTTCTATGGTTAATTAATATGAACTGAGAAATCATAGGAAACTATAGAAAACTTTAGAAATTCATGGTGGTTTTGTTCGCGTCTAATATGAATTCTCAAGTAGAATGAACTATTGGTCAATTACTTTTCAAGTTTGAATACTGGCATTTATTTAGTGTGATGAGATCATATTACAAATAATTCGTCTAATTGGATTGATATTTAATTTTGTAATTTTTGGTGGCTCCTATGAATTACATAGGTTTTATGGTGAATGTTTCATGTGTGATTTGATCAAAAACCTTAGAAAAAACGGACCAACTAAGTAGTAGTTTGGTTGCCTTTTACGAGTTAGATTACAAAGGTCACACTCATTTGGTAAGGTCTACAAGGTGAAAAAATCATTCATTGACGTGGAGGAATAGCTAATGTATACTAAGAAAGGATATTATTGAGAAGATGTTGATTGATAAAGTTTAACTAATGAATGTAAAATTGTGTTTAATGAGAAATATTTGGCGACAACATTGGCACAAGTTACTAAAGCGTTGAGTGAGATAGTTAGAAGTAATTCGATTACTATAGACTTCAATTAAACAAATTCGTTACTTTACATAAACATCGTGTCCATTGGTATCTAGGCCAATAGAAGTGACTCGAGGATATTTAAACGTCACATATAACAAATCAGACTTCACACAAATCAAGTCAAACAAGAATGTTCTAGATATTATAGTTGTGGTAAAATCAAAGTTAAATACAATGAGTGTGATAAACCATACGTTTCAATTATGATGCTTCGTGCCAACAGACTTGCCGAATATAGAGAATCCCAAATGACTTAGAGTTTACAATAAGGTCTAATTAACAACTGAGACAAACAAATAGACAAAATTTTTTACTAGAAAGAGAGAGTTTAGTACATTCAGAACAAGAAGGGATCAATAAATGTAGTGAATCTTCTGACATCTAGGCCACTTATCAGCGGTGAAACGTAAAGAATCACGAGGTAGATCAAATATAATAGAAAATAATGAGTTGGATTAATATCAGGAAGTCATGGTGAAAGAGAGGGAGGACTGTCAAATGAGTCACAGCATATATATAGTAAATGTTTGTTTAACGCATGTTATGGATTTTAGCGACTGATTGAACCTTACGTTCACTGTTACTTTGACAACTTTGGTTCTAACCGCTGTACTATTTTATTGATAGTAGATTAAATTTGGTGTACTGCTGAATACTTAGTTTAACTAGGACGAATTAATGATACCCTATTTCACGAAGAGTGATTAAACAATGAAACACTGTGTTAAGAAGTTCAAAACATTGATAATAGTTTATTTACCTCTAGTAATATCATTCAAAATTTATCAATTAACATCAGTCTAAATAGTATTAATCCACATATCAGACATCTCGTCTTGAGCTCCTCATTATTTAGCAATTGATTTGTTTGTTTAAGGTGTTCATAAATGAGTTACCAATCAGCTTACAAGTGAAGTTTTCAAAACGACAGAGAAATATAGGATTTTACTCATGGAGATAATACAATGAAGATGAGTAACACAATTCAATACTATAACATACTTATTACTGTTTTAGTAGCATTTATGGGTAAAGCTCATTGTTAGTAGCAGTTTATAGTTACCCCTTGTTTATATTCAGGACTAGTATTAATCAATCTCTGTTACCATATGCATATTGATTTGATTTCACCTGATGTCACAAATTTTACTATATTTGGGATAGTTCCGAATAAAATGAAATGGGGATCTTGGAAGCCACTGCTAACCACAATTGAAATCTATCAATACACAGAATGTCAATTTTACATTTTTGTTGCTTCCTAATGCTAATTTACAAACATCTCTTAACGGTACGATGTAATTTCATACGCAAATTTTGTTGCTGATTGAGTACAGATAAAGAAAGAATAAGTAATTCCGTAAATATAAGGGTATTTATCTCTATAAATGTGATGTATGTGCACTGTATAATTTTGTCCTTTTTATGACTTATGGTGTAAGTTACTAGTATATTTCATTTATTATAAGCTTATCGCTGGAGCCATAACGGTGGTTGGTGGAATATACATTTGGGGAGAAAAATCTTTGCATAATACTCTACATACATTTATAGTAGATGGAATTAGTGCTTTAACGATTAAAAAAGGAATTACAAAGTTATTTTTCAATGTATTCGAAGAGATTCGTAAGTGAATATCATTTTGTTTTAAAAATAATTCATTCATTTTGGTTAATTAGCTTTAAAATAATATATCATCGAGTATTTGAACAATTCCATTTAAAAGGTCTTTATACAATCTTCAATTTTAAACTGGATAGGTATAACTAAGCAAAAAAACAGAGTTAGTAGTTGAGATCATGAGTCAATTAAAGCTAGACCACCATGAAAAACCTGGAAGCACTGAACAGGCGTTTCGTTCTATTGTGGGACTCCTCTAGCTTCAGTTGACTCATGATCTTAACTATTGAAATTACTATAATATCTACAAAAATCCCCTTCTGATACCAAAAAACAATTATTAACTTGTCTTTTAGAGGTTCATTCATAAACCATAATGTATTCAAACATTAGTGTAGTTATGAGTATAAGACTTAGCTATTTGGATGATACTCTGGGTAGAGTAAAGAGTCAAGGCCATAATTACTTTTCACCACTCAGATAATAATGTTGGCAGATTACTAGGATCAGACTCATGTTCAAGGACTTCTGTTGGTTATTTGAGTGATAACTTCAACGTCAATTTGTCTACTTAATCGGATCACTGAATTATTGAGTCTTTGAATAATAGGTTCACTCTTCTTTAATAATGTTATTAACGTTCGCTTTACCAATAACATAAATGACCGTCGATACAAACTCCGATTGGTTCAACGCACAGATCCCTCTAAACTTAATGGCCAATCTGCTGTTTGAAGAGATTACGAGATTATCTAACCTGAGAACGGAAAAGGAAGACTCTGTGACACAATGACCAATGAGCTAGCTATTCCGACGCGTCCCAGCCCAGTTCAAGTTCGGAAGGGGAAAATGTATTCCACAAGCAGCCAGAAGCACGAACAATAACAATAAGCACAACGCAAGCGTATATATACAGCACGGTACAAAATAGCATACTAAAAGATACAACAAACTAATAGCGCTTAAGACTCTCCCAAGTGAGAAATACGACATGAAGGTGAAAATGAGCGCTTTTGGCGCGAAAACAAGAAATTCAAATTTTTAACATAGAAATACAAAAATAAGGCATTTACTAAGTGAGTTCTGGGGATCTAACATCTCCAACGTAATCATAACACATAGGTAATCAGCTGAAGTACATTCTATGATTCACAATCCTTATGGCTCAAAAACTTATGAAAATTTATGTTACAAGACTATTATGCACCACAAATTAAAAAAATCATGATTTGTAGGTAACTAGATAAGATGGGATACCAAATTCAATAATGTATTATAATTAAGTAATGGTAATTTCTGAACGTTAAAAACTCTACAAACAGTTAGTCGTTTAAGTGAAAGTTAACAATAATAGGAATCTAAAATCTACCTTCAGTCGAACATTATCTAAATACGAAATAAACAAGATAACTAAATAACATTTTACCGTCAGATAATTCCAAGAGTTTCATTTACTCTAACAACTTCCAACTGAATTTAAATTGAACTAACATCAGAGATATTCTTTTCTAAACAGAATGACATTCGTATTTTCATTGTTTTCGAGCATCAATTTATATTCATTATATCTAGTTTGAACAGTTATGATGTTCTTTAAATCCACTTGGTATTGTTTACTTGAATCTTCTCATTGATGTTTAGGACTGCAATTGATCAATCTCTAATTGGCATATGTACATACTGTGCGTGTTGCCTCGATATCGCCTTAATTCACAAGCATTATAAGCAAAGGTGGACAGTGGCTAGCGCATATGCCAATAAGAGACTGATCAATTGCAGTCCTAAACATCAATGGGAAGATTCAAGTAAACAATATCAAGTGAATTTAAACTTCACCCCATCGCACAAGCTAGTGGCTGTCAAGACTCAGTAGCTAGGTGGATAACGCGATGGCATTTGAAGCGAACGATACTGGGACCGAGTCACAGAGTGGACATCAAGTCAGATGCAGGTACGTCCGGCTGACGAGTCCCAAGTAGGACGAAACTTGCGTCTCGGACATCACTGCTAGCTACTATACATCTTTGCTTATAATGTTCTTTGTTTGATAAATTCTCTGACATATTTTCCTCTTTTTTCAAAAAATAAACATGCACTAACAGAACCTTTAGGAGTTTACATTTTTGTTTTTGGCCTGATCATCTTCATTATTTGTCTGCTTGGTATAATTGGAACATGTTTTAAATCTAGATTGATAATTTATACTGTAAGTTAAAATTATTAAACATATTATATCCATGGTTTATATTATATTCATTCTTATGAAGACAGTTTATATTGTATATTGACATCAGGCAGTATGTTATTGGAAACCTTGAAGGAATGAATAAATTTTTTTTATTATGGAACTTTCCAAAGTATGCACCCATGACCCAGTGCTAGTCATCAATGGATATCATGATGGGCTGCATATATAAGAAATACCCTATCCACATCAGTCTAACTCTGAGCTTCTATAAAGATGACAGTAAAATTTTAGAAGAAATCCAGAGACCAAATTAAAATAAGCGACCTTGCAATCATTTGATTCAGTATCATATTATTTACTGTGATAGACAGTTCCCAAATAAGCCAAAATTTTGTCATCGTTACTAAGTAACGTGATCAACTATTATTTGAGTGAGAGGTATTTGGAGTTTTCTAGGACTAAGTGAGTAGATAAGTTATCTTAATAAAAATCCCTCGGAATATGACTTACGAGAAAAACTAATTGATTACAAATTCGCGGTGGATTTAATACTTGAATCACATTTCCCTACCAAATCAAAATCTATCAAATGAAGCTACTAAGAGTAATTATCAGTATGAGATTGTGGAGATTATTAAATTTTTGATTGAGAACATGAACCGATTGATGTTAGACCACCATTGAAAACCTGGAAGTACTGGATGGCCGTTTCGTCCTACTGTGAGACTCCTCAACAGTGCACATCCATGATCCCGCTTACGGGACCGGAATCCAGGGCCTTCGGTCTCGCGCGCGAACGCTTAACCTCTAGACAGTTGAGCCGGCCGGTATCCAAAGGTGTTAATATCTAACTTCAACCAATCCACGAAATTACGTGATCGTCTTCCACTGTACTGAGGTAGATACCTATATCTACCCGACACGGATTAGGAGTGGTCTGGAGGTTAGCTTTTCGCGCGCGATACCGAAGGCCTTTGGTTCGAATCCCGTGAGTGGGATAGTGGATGAGCACTGGTGAAGAGTCCCACAATAGAACGAAACGGCCATCCAGTACTTCCAGGTTTTCAATGGTGGTCTAACATCAATCGGTTCATGATCCCAATCAAATACTCAGAGTAATTTGTTCATTGATATGAATCAACATATCATTGATAAAAATCTTTAGTAAGAATATTTATGGTGTAGGGTTCGGTTGAACTGGATAGTTTAATCATGAAGCTTTAATTGTTTTTCTACATCACATCACCATCATCAGCATAAATTACAATTAAAAAAAAACTAAACTTATAGGCAAAGATGGATAGCGGCTAGCAGTGGAATCAATTACGCGCGTTTCGTCCTATTTAAGACTCGTCAGCTGGATGCCTCTGTATTTCAGAGTTGATATTAACTCTGGGACTCGAACCCAGTACCGTTTGCTTCAAACGCCATTGCGTTGTCCACCTAACCACTTGTTTGCTCATGGATTGATCACTGAGTGCTGACTGAGTTTTTTTCTACCATTAGGAAACATCATTTTATACATGATTACGGTTGTGTCGAATATTTTGTGATATAAGTATGTAGTTTTACTACTGAAGTGAACTCTTATTTTTTTGACAAATACTTCCCTCTTCTGATATTCCTTTCACTGGGACAATTCATAAAGAATATGGATTATATAAGTAACCATCAGTTGGGCACATAGTAACTAATAGATTGTACGTTTCATACAATTTTCATTCATTATAGAATTTATCAGTCTTCCTGTAGGTCATTTGTACAAAAACCTTAAAGAGATGTTGAATCCAACTTCAAATAACATTAGATTTCTGTAAATATTTTTAACATTTTGTCATGTATAATTTTAGTGCACATATTATAATCATTTATAATTTATAATTTATTTTCAGTATCTAACATTGCATTTGTTAGTTCTTATCCCTGAAATTGTTATCATTATTGTGTATTTCTGTCGACCAGATATAGTAAGTTTGTTCTATATATTTTTTTAGTGTTAACTTGTAGTGTTTTAAAGAAGTAATACAAATGAATGACCCATGAAACTGGTGACATTTGTTTTCTATTTTTGTAAAATATATTTATAGATTATAAGCAAAGATGGATAGTGGCTAGCAGTGGAATCCAGGACGCGCGTTTCGTCCTGTTTGGGACTCGTCAGCTAGATGTACCTGCATCTCAGAGTTGATGTTCACTCTGGGACTCGAACTCAGTACCGTTCGCTTCAAACGCCATCGCGTTTGCAGGTACATCCAGCTGACGAGTCCCAAACAGGACGAAACGCGCGTCCTGGATTCCACTGCTAGCCACTATCCATCTTTGCTTATAATGCTTGTAAATTAAGGCAATATCGAGGCATACGCACAGTATGCACATATGCCAATAAGAGACTGATCAATTTCAGTCCAAAAACATCAATGGGAAGATTCAAACAAAACAATATCAAGTGAATATTTATAGATTGGTTAAAGATCCCCGTCATATTAAAAGACTAGTATTTGAACGAAGAATATTCTTTTCGATAAATTCTCTTCAGGTTCTACAATTATATATCCAAATTAATAATCCGAAAAATGGCTAAGGTAAAGGCAAAGTACATCGTTTAGAGTATGTGAATTTAGGATTGTAATAAACAAAATACAATAAAATTGTTAATGTTAATACGACTGATATAGAATGTTCACTTGAATCAGCTTATATGTTAAGTAAAATTTTAAGATCCATGATCAGAATAAATATGGGTCAAATAGGGTGAGAGAGAAATAATAGTGCAATTACAATTCGATCAAATAAGTAAGACGTAATACGGAGGGATGAATGCGAAGTGAATGAATCATGCATAGGGGAGATTAATGATGATGATTAACCAATAATACGAATAATAATAATAATAATACAAAGATTTGTGAATAAAGATAACAGGGACAATTACAATTGACTACGAAAGGTCATAGTCAAATTAGGTCATTCAATAGTTAAGATTACGATTGATTAATTAGCCTTGATGTTGGCCAGGGGAGGAGGAGTGGTTGAATGTATTTCTTCTGTACGCATAGCTCTGGTTTCTTCATCCGGATGGCTACTGCTTCAGTCTGACCAGTTTTGGCAAAAAATTACTGACCTAATAAATGATTGAAAAAGATTGGTTTTTACTGGCACTATGACCGGTTTGTACTAAATGGGCCAATATTGAGCTGTTCACCTTCTTCATCAAACCTTTGTTTAGCCACGCTGGAAGGTGTTCACGAGCACGAAAATGTTAACTCCTAGAACTTCGACCAATATAACTCGCTCCACAGGAGCAGTCGAACTGACAAATACAAAATTTTATTGTATTTTGTTTATCACAATCCTAAATTCACATGCTTTAAACGATGTACTTTGCCCCTAACCTGATCATTTTTCGGATTGTTAATTTGGATATATAATTGTAGAATCTGAAGAGAATTTGTCGAAAACAATATTTATAGATTTTAAGTACCAAGTATTGATTAAGGGGACAGTACCTGGTGAATAATCTCACTAAATTAAATCTAAAGAAATAGAGATTTATTTTGATATTTACTAGTAAAGAAAAAAGACTTAAATGTTAGTTTTGTAGGAGTCTTTCTGATATATGCGATTATTTTAATTCCAAAGAATTATCTTAATGCTTCAGTTATATTTCTTAGTAGAAACGAGATAAATTCGTTTGTAATTCCTATCATATGATATCTTCGTACTATTTGTGAGGTGAAATAACTGTCAAACTACCTGCTGTCTTGAATTTTGTAACTTATAAGCTCTCATATTAGTAATAGTTTGGGACTTACCGTTGTCGAAATTGATGACTATATTTGATCACTCTCTGTTGTTATATATGTATACTGACTGGATTACCTTAATGTAGTCTTAGTTATAAGATTTTCGGATAAATGAATTATGGCCAGCATTGGAGCCCTGGATAGATATTTTTTTTACATTTAGGACTTGTAAATTGGATGTACTTAGATTTCAATGTTGATGTTTACACTGGAACCCGAACCTAGTATCCATCATCAGTTAAGTTATTGAGTTCAGATAGTCATCATATTGGTCAACAGGTGTAAAGATAATAGTAAGAGTTTTTAATTTACCATCGTTGAAATTTAGGAGCGAGATTGATCAGCCTCTTTCAGGATATGTGCAGCATGAAGATCAGCACTAAGCTGTAAGTGAATTTGGCATGTCAGTCTACATGCAGCACAAAATATTCATCCTGTACTCGACAGCTAGCCACAATTCAATTTTTTAAACTTTCAGTTGACACTTACTTATATAGATTAGTATTCCAGTCTAATGATCTAACTCGGACTGCTAACAGTTGTAGTGTCCAAACGTTTTAATTTTACAATTATAGAAGATGCTATAAGCATGAACAGGAGGGGGAAACAGGCCGAACAGTGTTATTATTTCGTGCGTTTTGCGCCTAAATGTTATTTTCAGGTTCTTCTATTTTACGATAGAAATTATCCTAGAATGGTTAAATTTCTAATACCAATTTATCAAAACAATATTTGTGTAAATATTTTTCAAGACAATAGACACAACTATTGATTGAGAACTAAGATTTGCTTCAAAAGAACTAATCTGAGCAGACATGATCGATGGAAATTCTGCTGTTCAGTTTCTACACTTAATTTCTTGAAGCTTCAAACAAGATATTACTCAATTCCACTGAGAATATCTACCGAGTAATATCATTTTATCAGAGTCTCGATTTTGGTAAGGGGATGATTTGTTTAAATGGGTTTACACTCACAAACACGATTCAATACCCCCTCTCATCAAGTACATTAAATTTCACTGAAGCGAGAAAATTCGGTTTAGCAAAATACAACTCCATACCGTTTCACATAACTAAAAATAAATATGGAGAAAATTTTGAATTCTGCATTCTGACTGATAAGAAAACAGGGTGAATTTTGTCGTTAACATTATGGACTGACCTTTGTTAAATAGCCAATAAATAGTAGTAAGCACTGGACACCTGTTTCAAACCATCATGGTACTCATCTGTAGTGTACATCCACAACCTTACTAGAGATTAAATTTCTAACCTTCAGGTTTCATGGCGAGCTCTTTACTTTTTGATCAATGAGTTGATATCTGGAATTTGACATTTTTAGCTGCAATCACTTCACAATTTTGTTCAATCATCATTTATTACGTTGGTGATACTTGTCTCAAACCAGACATAGTCAAACTCTACCGGTCACTGATTCTCACTAGAAGTTCAGGAATTATAAATGTAAACCTTCGAATGTCAACTCAGCGGTCAGAGGTTCACTCACTTAATGGTCTAGAGTTTGGTCTCCGGTGGAGTCATGAATGCACTGTGCTGAGAAATTACATACCAAGACAAAGGATCTGCTCATAGTTTAATGATTTTTAATGATTACCTAACTGAATTTAGTTTCTGATGTGAGCTATTTGAATCGACAATCTTGACAAATTCCCTTTACTAGCAGAACGAATTTTTCTATTAAGATTGTTATGTTTACGTAATTGCACGAACCATAATTTGAACCTTCAGAATAAAATGCTCATATCTAATTAATCCACTTCTTTTCAGTTAAATATAAATTTTGGTTATCTATCTGTACGAATGATAAACATATTACGTGTATGTTTTAATAACCTGTTTGAAAGAAATATAAACAAGAAATTTCAACTTCCAGGCTTTCAATATATTTCTTGATCAACTTTATTGTAAACAGCAGGACTAAAGTTTTCTATGTAAAATTTGTGTGTATGTATGCATTTACCGATTGTTTTTCACATTTACTTTTATCATAGGTAACCACATTTAGTCGAAATATATTCAATTCAAGTATTCAACGTTACATCGGTTATGATTCACCTGATATACACAGTTATGCTTTAAACCACATCATGATACAGGTGAGAAAAATAATGATATTAAAAGATGTGGGTATTTGGTATTGTACGTTAAAAGGATGTATTTATGATGTTTTACACGGAGTTCAGCCAATGATTAGACATAGGATTCAAAGCTCATCAGTAACAATTTTCACCACATGATATCTACTAAAGACGATTTAGATGTCATAGTGGGATGCACAGAGAGTGGTAGATCTGTTAAGGTTTCAGAAATGCCAAAATCAAATATGGTTTTTTTGTAGTTATTCCTAAACAGATGAATTTAAATATGGTCTCTTTCACTAAGCTTTATAAAAATAACATCTATCGATTTGGAGATTACACTTAACCTTGAATATTATGGGATCGTTGTCATTTGAAAGTAAAACGAATGTATAGTTTGAAAAAATTCAATTAAAGTAACCGATGATCCAAATTGAAATGAATTATATAGCTAAGTGATAACTGTCCTCAAAATCTTAAATATTTATCCGATATACTAGTGATTAGGTGTCAAAAGACAGGAAAACTTGTCAGCAAAGTAAGAGTTCACTTACACCGCTAAACTGATAAACTTGGGTATAAAATATTTGATACAAAACGAATATGAATACAACTCATTTAAGATGAAAATAGCTTCAATATATGAGTTTAGTAGGTCATCAACCTATGAAATTAGGTCCCAATTATTGGACTTTTACTAAAGACTGAAGATACGATGTGCATTTCAGAAGTTGGAAATATTTGTTGAACTCTTATGTTAATTCCTTTGACGCGACTAGATGTATCATTGGTTAACTATGACTTCATATAAAGCGATATGTATTTTTCAAAATATTTTGTATACATTTGACTTAATCAGTGTTCAATTACTAGCTGAACTAATCGATTTCTTTTAAGGTTAAATGAAAAATCCAGTTTTTATGAGATAACTTATGATACATTTGACAGTCTCGAATTACCTAAAAACTATATATGAATGCATTACAAGTAAAGACTGGAGTCAGACAAGGCTGTCTACTCTCCCCCTTCCTCTTTCTTCTGCTGGTAAACTGGATTATGAAGACCTCGACATTTGAGGGAAAACACGTAATACAATAGACAGCTCAGAACCAATTAGACGATTTGGACTTCGCAGATGAACTAGCCCTCTTATTCCATACACATGAACAAATGCAGATAAAGACAGTCAATGTAGCAGCAGTCTCTGCATCAGTACGCCTCAAAATACACAAGGGGAAAACCAAGGTTTTTTACATACAAAATACATCAACCAAACCACACTTAATGGCGAAACTCTAGGAGATGTAGAATCTTTCACATACCTGGGAAGCATCATCGATGAACAATGATTATCGGATGTAGGTGTAAAGGCGAGAATTAGCAAAGCAAGGGTAGCATTCCTACAATTGAAGAACATATTGAACTGAAATCGACTGTCAACCAATTTCAAATTGAGAATCTTCAGTACGAACATCAAGACAGTTCTACTGTACGTAGTTGAAACATGGAGAACTACTACAACCATCATCATCAAGAAGGTACAAGCATTTGTAAACTGTTGTCTATGCGAGATACTGAATGTCAGTTGGTTGGATATCATCAGAAACAAACTACTGTGAATGAGAACAAACTGGGTTCCAGCTGGAGAGGAAATTAGGAAAAGACGTTGGAAGTGGATGGGACACACATTACGGAAATCATCAAACTGTATCACGAGGTAATTCCTAACTTGAAATCCTGAAGGGAAGTGGAAAAGAGGAAGGTTAATGAGCACATTATGTCGGGAAATAGATGCAGATATGAAAAGGATGAATAGCAACTGGAGAGAGCTATGAAGGACTGGCCGGTACAGGGTTGGATGGAGATTGCTGGTGTGTGGCCTATGCTCCTCCACGAGGAGTAACAGGCGTAAATAAGTAATATATGAATGTAGTGGTTCCGTATTGATTGTTAAATCAGAAGTATACTTAAACATATAGAGAACGTGTTATATATAATACAGAATTGATAAGAAAGATTGTTTCCTATATAATTTCGTTTCAAAGGTGATGAAATCACTTGATTAATTATTAAATGCGGAAATAAAGATTAATGATCTATTAATGAAGTTAGTCACTGTTTTACATAAATTAAACTGTTCTTTAAAACGAACAAAAATCAACTAGTTCATCGTTTCCTGCATTTATAACTTGAATATATTGTACGTGGGAAAGGACATAAATTGAAAGAATAAGGAGAAAATTACTTATTCATAATTCTCGTACATGTTACAAAGAATCTGTGATTAAAAGATATGACAACTAACATCAGTACAGTAGTTCGATGTTTATTCGGTTGTGACTATGTTATTGTTTCCTGTAATTCTTTAAAAATAATTTCTAGACAAAAGAACTCAACGACATGCTTCACTGAAACATTGGTCATTAAAAAACCAAGATGAAACACATGGACCCGAAAAGAAGCAGTTGTCATCTTATTACTACCATAATAAATTGATATTTTTGAATACATTCCCTCTTATTATTATTATTATTATGGCATGCAATGTTCGTTTAAGTAATTGTCATTTTATCCACTTCAAAAATATCTTTACAGTTACTGTGTGTTTCTGGTCATTCATTTCTCAAAACCTATTCAATTCTTTAAATATTATTAAAGGACGTATCTTATCAATTTTCCAGTTTCATCCTGTTTATGTTTTCAGAAGCTGTCATCAATTGATCTTACAGATAGCGAGATATACATCTAACACAGATAGTCACTTCAATTGTTCAGTCACTGCTTTTGATCGTTTAATATCAGGTTTTCTCTCAATATAAATGGGCAGATATAAGCAACTGATAGAAACCTACGAAATAAAACGATTTGATATTATTTGGCTTCAATTAATGTGTTTGTCTTTTCCAACTACATAATATCCGTGGATTAGTCATCCTGTGTTAAGTAGTTACGCCGCTCCTAAGCACATCAACATAAATAATTAATTTCATCAGAAGAGGTTCGTGGAGATTTCAATCTGTGGAATTAATTTCATGTTTATTCATTTCATTAGAGGACGGGGTTTACATAAAATTCCAATTATAAAACACTTCTGTTACGAATCATTCACAAATTCTATTCTTTCTCAATCTTTTCCCTATAGTTACAATGCTGTGGTATTAACAATGGAAGTGATTTCGTTCATGTGAAAATGACTAAACCAAACATAATGTATAAAGGTGAACCGTATGGTGAGTAAAATTGTTTTTATTTTCATACATAACGTTTTCACTTATTTTAAATAGTAAAATTCACAACTGGTGAGTCGAAATGGAGTAACTATTCTTGACAGACGAACATGAATGACTGTAAAATGATTTTATAAGCTTTACACCGACAGTAGTGTGATGTCTCTGTAAACTTTCACATTTGCTCATATCTCCTTTCTTTGATTAAGTATCCTTCTTTCCAGTATGTCTGCAGCACTTGTTATTCCCCCACCCCCAAATCCTCCTGAATAGAAAATGGAGCATGTTTGCAATTACTTCTATGTCTGACTTAAGAGATTCGGCTAGTATATTGTCTGGTCCTGCTGCTTTTCCACCCTTGATTCGTCTGATGTCCATGTCAACTTCGATCGTTGATGGAGTGATATTGATAGGAAGGTTTGTGTGTGCCGCTTTGATATCCGGTGGGTTCAGTGGAGCTTGTGTATTCAAGAGTTTCTCGAAGTATCCTAACCATCTTTTTTTCTGCTCTTGAATTTCAGTCTTGCTTTCTTTTTCTTTGATCAATCTTTCTAGTTTACTATATTTCTCTGCCGGTTTCTTCGTTGTGTCATGTAGTTGTTTCATATTTCCTTCCTCTGCACCTTTTTCTTCGGTCGTTGCCAGCTCTTCTACGTATTTCTGCTTGTCGGCTCTAATGCTTCTCTTCACTCTCTTGTTTGCTTCTGTGTATTCATTTTTTGCCTTGACTTTCTTTAACATTGTTCAGTTGGCTATTGTTAATTTATGTCTTCTTGTTCTTCCTTTCTTGAATCCCTTCCAGGGCTTCGATAGAGATCCATTCCTTATGATGATGCTCCCTGTAGCCCTGCACTTTCTGATAGTTATTGCTTCTTTGATCTCTTTCTAACTGTCCTCCATATAAATTTCTTCTTCCAGCAGATCCTGTAAGGTTTAGAACACGTTGTTGAGAGTTATCTTGAATTCGTTGAGTTTGTCAATATTTCGAAGGAAGGCTGTATTGAACCGTTGAAATGCTGTTTCTCCAGTTGTCCAATGCTTTTTTAGCTTTAGTTTCATCTTGGCGCCTGTAAATGAAGTCTTACTGTTTAAATTTATCACCATGAATAAAAAGCTTATGAATGTATCACGGAAATTCTCGTGTAATAAGATGCTTTGGGTTTCATATTATTTTATATTAACTAGCAAGAGAATTTGGATATCGTAGTTTATTTTCTTGGTGACTTACCGTTAAAAAACACCCAGTAATTTATTATTTCTTCTCCAACATGTGAGTTAAATCATGAACGTAATAAGCTATTGTAATAAAATAGTACAGTTGAATAAAAGTATCACTACGCGTCATTATTTCCAGTTTTAGATTCACGTTCCTGTCGCAAACATCAATCCATTGTCTCAGATTTCATTGTTCATGCGTTTTCATACCAACTGCGTTCCGTTTCCGTTCTTTCCTTCTCCATATTCTACTGAAATACATTCTATGCCTGACCACCCCTTATATACTACTTGTGTTGACATAAGTAACACATACCACAAGTGGACGGACGTTCCGTCCTATTGTGAGACTCCTCAGCAGTCCGCGTCCACGATCCCGCCCACGGGATTGAAATCCAGGGCCTTAAATCTCGCGCGCGAATGCTTAAACTCTAGACCACTGAGCCGGTATCCAACGATGTTAATGTCTAACTTCAACCAATCCACGAAATTGCGCGACCATCTTCCATTGTGCTGAGTTAGATACCTGTCTCTACCCCACACGGATTAGCTCCATTGGTCACGGCTTCTCACTAGAACTCCAAGAATTCTCCCACGAAGCTAGTCACTAGTGAGCTAACGTCAATCGGTTCATGATCTCAGTCATAAGCAAAATTACACTGATTACTACTCATAATAACCGGTTTGATATGGTAACAGTTTATTTAGTTTATTAGTTAAACTAAAAATTACCAAACCCCAGATGATTAACATTCATTGACCATTAAGTGTAGTATTTGATTCTTATGTTAACAACTAGGACTATGGATTCTTTTGCATTTTTATGGGAAAAATATCAGTCTACTAATAATTTCATATTCGAAAACATTAACTGAATCTATTGTCATCTTATTTGAAATAACAAAATCTAATCTCAGTACGAAAAGCGGTAAGCTTATCAACTTCCAAATTTTGATGTAAACTTTAGTTTTCATTGATTGTTAAAAGATAATAGTAGTCGATTTAAAACTGAAAACAAAGCCTCCCCACTTGGAACTATTTGCATTTATCTCAGAAAGAAACTAAACAGGTTGATATAAATTCTAAAACTATTAAATCATTCAACAGAAATAATGAATTATTTTAAATATGGTACAGCCCTGTAAACTTACAAATAGTAGATTTTCAGATACAAGAATGGTACTTATTGTTATGACTTTAAGCCAATCGCCAATCGAAATACGACCTATTCAGTCTTAGTACTGTACTGAACCAATGACGTTCGACAAGTCTTTATTGGTCCTTTGTTCGCCTAGCACGTCCAGTTGGGTCCAGAACGTCAACAACAGCTCCCACTGTGCGAATCATTTATTCCAAAAATACTTGGTTTATATGCCAACCAAACAGACCGTACCACACCATAAAATAGGAAATAACATTTATACAAGAACAAGCCAAAGAGTGGCTGTAAACGTGGGAGACTGTAATCAATAAACTGAACATAACTTAAGAACAATAAATCGTACAATAATAATCTATAGGTCAAAATGAACCTTATAGTAAGATGAATGTAGAAATACATAAACCAGTTACTGAATAGTTATACAATACGAATATATGTAATATTAGTCCATCAATAACTCTCAGGAGTTACCCGTAATTTAATCTTCACTAGGATATAACACTTAACTTCGTTAAAAAGTCACGAAATGAATGATTATCTAATCCTACTAACTAGAAATCCCTATTTTTCTAACAATGAATCTATTTTCAAGTTATTAAGATTTTCAATGGTTGAGATCGTGAGTTAATTAAAGCTAGTCAGCATGGAAAACCTGGAAGCATTGGACGGCCGTTTCGTCCTACTGTGGGACTCTTCAGCAGTGCTCGTCCGCGATCGTGGAATAGTTGAAGTTAGACATTAACGCCGTTGGATTTCGGCTCGACGGTCTAGTGGTTAAGCGTTCGCTCGCGAGACCGATAGGTCCTGGGTTCGAATCTCGCGAGTCGGGATCGTGGATAAGCAATGCTGAGGAGTCCCATACTAGGACGAAACGTCCTTCTAGTGCTTCCAGGTTTTTCATGGTAGTCTATTTTTAATTGACTCATGATCTCAATTACTGAAATTAAAATATATTTGTTGCACGTTTAATGATTACATATTTTTGTGATTTGTTGACTGGAGTAACAGTACACTTAAAATGGATTCAGAGTAATTAAACTAAAACCTACTTTTAGTTCATTAATTAACCAGTTAATTTAAAATTGTTTGATAAAATATCTCTGGAGACCAGTGATTAGTAGTTAACAGGTGATTACTTTTATCAGTAAAATTTCTTGTTTTAAGTGTTAGATTTTGGGAGTTATGCTTCTATGAATTATTTTCTAATTTACCAATAAGAGCTTATGAAGATTTCGTATAAACTTAAAGTAATTTTGAATACGAATAGACACTAGTCACTAATTGAGAGTTAGTAGTTCATTGATAATATTTTATGAGGGTTGTATTAACTTATTGATACATTTGATACTTGACACGGACATATTTTGGTAGTTTCTTAGTCCCCTCAGAAATCTCTTGTATTTGAGCCACTAAGCCAATACAAAGGAAGAAAATAAGAAAAGAAGCTTTACTTCGAAAATTCTCTTAATTATATAAAGAATGAATGTTCTTAGGTTTATGCTTGACTCTGAAATCTATAAAATTATGGAAATATGCTTAAATTAATAATAAAATCAGAAATTAATAAATCACAATATGATATATAATCTATCGTTTTTCTAGGACTGTATGGGGAGTTTTTAGTGAATCCTGACTGGAAGAAGTGTTTACAGACTTTTTTAGGCCTTGACAACGTTTAAGGGGAGCACTCGATGGCTCCTGGAAGCCGCAGATTGACTGAAGTTAGAAAAAGTGTACCATTTGAATAGTGACTTTGCTGATCAACCATATTGTACTCACTGATGTACGTGATAGTCATAGGTTCTATTTTATATGCGGTTGTCCGTACGCGTTGGATAATTCTTAAATGTAATATTGATAACAATGGAATTTGTTAGGGATATTAGTCATGGGTTTACCTCAGTTAAGTCAATATTTAAAACAAGGGAGGACTGGACAGATTTTTTTTTAGTATTGGACTTTTCTGTGGTGGGCAATCACGAGCCCACTGTTGATCGAACTCAAGAATTTAATCTAAACAATAAATTAATAGAAAAAACGAAGAATTCGAACCACGCCTGAGTATGATCCTGATTCCAAAATTATTAAGTTACATTTGAATTTAGAGAATAGAAGCTTTAATTTCTAGCTGTTTTATTTGGCCAACCTGATAAAGTGTGTTCGTTCATGAGCTTCACGGAAGTTCACATTGAAATGAACAATATATTAAGTTTAATTTAAGTGAGAAATGATGGTGTTTTAGAAACATTCATTACACGATTATTTCAGATAGAAGTCTTAAGTTAGTGTTGATGATGTCGTTCAGAAGGACGATGGAAGCTCCACGACCAAACCATCCAGCTCAGAGAACAAAACTCCACCAAAATTATCCACCTGAGCTACAAATCTTCTCCACCATCTCAAGATTATTTCTTTAGTTATTCATTACACATATATTCCAACCTTGGAAAAACTTTATTGTATTTCTATGTTATGGTTACTTCACTTCTTTCTCACCTCACACTTACTTTATTAACCAAAAATCTTGATCAAAATGCAAGTTGACTCTTTTGTTGGGTAAAGTACTTCTGTTTTCTAGATCCATAAATACATCATGATCAATGGTTATATGTAGTGCCCATATTATAAGATCTTGTTTCAACCATACATGTTGTATTTGAGGACATAAGTGTCAGTAACACTCTGTGTGTTGAACTGGAAATATTTTCTTAAGATAGATCTTAGATAGCTGAAATAATGTATTAACCTTGGATAACAATAAAATCGGTTTACTTAGCTTGAATATTACATTTTCGTCTAGTTAATGAATGACCATATAGATTTTTTTTCTAAAGAAAAGAGTCAAAAGGATAAATGTTCTTTTTTTTTTTCAATTATTCAACCTACCTAAAACTGATTAGAATTTCAATATCCAATCAGCTGTTGTAAAATGGATAGAAATCAAGAAATAACTAATAATGGTTGTCCTGATCAATTTACTTTGGAAAACAGTAATATACATGTTGGATGTTGGCCAAAGATAGAAAGCAATATCATAATGTATGGTAACACAGCAGCTTATATATTATGTGGAGTGGTAGGATTTCAAGTAAGTAAATGTCTATTGTGCATAGAATGTTTGAAACAATTCGATCTTCTATAGTAGAAACAAATTTCGTTTTATATTATAATTTGTTTCATAGAATTCAATGACTCATGAGATTTCTGCTGGGTAAACAAAAAAAATTGCTGGACGAGACGTTGGAATTATTTAAATTCGAATCTCTGAGATTACTTCAAATATAATTTTCATAAATAATGTCTTCCCATAACACCAACCTAATCACACTTAATGGCAAAACTCTGGGAGTTGTTGAATCCTTCACGTACCTGGGAAGCATCATCGATTAACATGTGTAGCACAGAAGATGATTTCATATGATTAAATGATTATAATAATTCTTTGGTTGTATTGTAGTAAAGTGCTAATGTAGTCTTTTTTTCACAATTCATCTTGAACTTTTACAATTTCGTTTATTTTCTACTTCCTTTTTTTCAGATTTTATTCATTCTCTTTGCACTGACTATTACACGTACAGGGGGAAAAATCAAACCAATTTAAATTATACTAATTCATTGGCGCATAATTTCATGAAGATATCAGCTAAATCATATACAGGAACTGGTCTTCATTTGTAACTGAATAATCATTTTTGTATTTTAGAGCCTGTTTACCATAGTAATATCAGTTATTTGTTATGCATTGACTAGTAGGAACCAAAGCTTGTACTGCAAAATTTTATACAGAACTTACTATTCTTAATCAAATTATTGTGAAAATATATTATCTGACCGTGTTCACAATTCATAGTTATTCATCTTTTTTTAAAATTACATAATTGAACATGAAAAATGGACCATTTTATTTTAATGCAAATTATTTCCTACTTAAATAAGTTATCAGTAGGCTGTTGTTTTATTTTAAAAAATTAACTGCAATCCAGGTTTTTGTGTTGTTTTACTTAATAATGGATTTTTTTGTTTGAATGATAATTTTATTCATAATATTCCAGTTTTCAAAGGTTTTATGAAACTAATGGTTTCTCAGAATTGTTATTTATGTATACCTAAATATAATCACAAAGATTGTATTGAATCTCAGTACACTAGTGACGTAATATTCATTTACTAGTGTTGCTGATATATACTAGTGGTAAGATGGTACTTTTTTACCATAATATTGTTTCAATAATGGCTAAATTCAGCAAAATATGTGACTACTATTAGTAAATTCGGTCGGAAAATATTCAGGGCAAAGGAAACAACAGAAACAAACACACGGTTTTCAACACATTTTCAGTCAGTCACTGAACTAAAAAACAGTAGTCATCATTAAACTATCATGCTTCAGGAGAACATTTTTAATTTTCAGCCTACTTACCTCACTAACTGATCTGTTGTCAGTATCAAATTGTTATAATTTTCATTACGTTCATGCACTTACAGATTAGGAAAGAATATGTATATGATTCCCGAGCTGCTATATTCTAACTGCTGATCACTAATCAACAAAGTGGACTATCTGCAATTCATACTAAGTCAAAATATGTATCGTAATTGTGGTGTCATCACAATTCAAGAATCTTGGTTAAATGATTTATAGGATGACTGCCTAGTATCACTACGTGATTTCAAAATTCATCGTCAGGATCGATCAAACAATAAAAAGAGGTGTGGTGGCGGTGTAGCTACGTTTGTAAACATAAACTGGTTTCGATCTTCGTTTGTGTGTTTTAAGTTTTCAAATGACTTTATCGACTGTCTAACTCTAAGATGTCGTCCAAAACATCTGAATAAATACAAATATGTTTATGTTACCAATATCTATGTCACTCCAGATTGCACATCATCTGCACTATCTGTTTTCGCTGATGAATTCACTGAGTTCGCTGTTACTGCCTTCAGTGATTCACTTTCAGTTGTATGTGGTGATTTCAATTCATGTGACTGTAACTTCCTTACGTCACTAGGTCACCAAAATTTAGTAGATTTTCCTACCCGTTTGAATTCTCATTTAGACTTCGTCTTGATTAATGATGTGGGTATATATGCGACTCGTAAACGTGCTCCACTGTCTAGCTCGGATCACTGTATAATTCGTGTTCTACCTAAAGTATATGGAAAGCATGGGAAGAGTACACTCTTACATCAAACCAAGAAAGTCAAATACAGGAATTACTCAGAAGAAAATATCCGAAACCTAAAAAACATGTTTCATACGACTAACTGGGAATTATTTACAGATGACTCACTGGAAAACACTACTGATGTTATCACTTGTTACCTTAAATTCTGTTCTGATATTTGTTGTCCCACTGAAACCATTTTTGTAAGTTTTGATCGACTTACATCTACACAACTAAAACGACTACGGAGGGTGAAAGAAAAAATGTACAAGGAGAAAAACTCTTATGAAATTCGTAAGCTAAATGGTCTGATAAACCTAGAGATTAGACGTCTCAACTGTATGTCTACTCAAAAACTCTTGTTTTGCAAAAACTCTCCAAGTATGTGGAAACTCTTTAAAGAACTTACAGGTGACAGACAGTTTAGAAGCGATAACCAGCTGAATGTTTGTGACTTAAATAAGTCTTTTGTACGTTGGTCATCTGATGTGATGCTCCCTTTATCCACGGGTTTAAATAATAGCTGTGTTCCTACTTTCACTGAAACTGATGTACAAGGATGTCTCCAGTCGCTTAATTCATCTCGATGTTTGGGACCTGATGGTATCCCAAACATCCTTTGTAAAAAGTGTGCTGACGTCCTATGTTATCCGTTCACAACTATCTTTAACAGATCGTTCTCATCTAATCTCATACCGAAAATGTGGAGAAAGATGAAGATAATTCCTGTACCCAAGAAATCATCTGGTGATAAGAATGTAAAATGTAGACCTATTGCAATAACTTCACCCTTCCTCAAAACAATGGAAAAATTATTAATACTTCCACTTCAGCCTGCGATAAAAGAGCATACTGACCCATACCAGTTTGCATACAGGCGCAAAAGAAGCACTTTAGATGCTGTTGCAGTTCTGCATCACAACATAGTGTTCAACTTAGAAAAGGGTAAGAACTATGTTCGATGTGGTTTTCTGGACTATACTTCAGCTTTTGATTCTATACCAAGACAACGTTTACTTAACAAGTTAATCAGCGTCAACACTGACAGCTGGATAACCAACTGGCTATGTTCCTACCTATCTGGAAGGGAACAGCACACCGTGTTTGGAGGAAAGTGTTCAGAGTCTCTACTGTCTCATGAGGGTGTACCACAAGGAGCTGTTCTTTTACCTCTTCTTTTCTCTTTTTTTCTGCATGATCTGCCATCTTCCACAGAAAACACTTTTGTGAAATATGCGGATGATCTCACTGTATGTATGCCTATCTCTTCCTCTTTACATCCCATTGAAATGAATGAGTTTTTGTCTCGTGTTGATTGTTGGTCTGTTGGTAATGGTCTCATACTTAATCCGTCTGAATGTCAAGCTGTTGACTTTAGCATGAGACATGAACGTAATCTAAACACCATTTCGAGATCCCATAGTGCTTGTACCATCGGAGACTCTTTGATAAACTCAGTGTCGAAGGTCAATTATCTTGGTGTCACCTTTTCCTCTGATCTGTCTTGGTCTTCCCACGTTTTACCGCTATCGAAGAAGGTTTTTCGTCTAACTTACTACATAAAGAGATTGCATGCTTTTGGGATTACTCGTCATTTACTCTTACAATTTGTCAATTCTTGCATATTACCTAGTATTCTTTACTGTTCTCCATTATTCTTTCCCGGGCTTTTGAGAAAAGACTTTGCTGTATTGCGGAGAGTGCTAAAGGCAGTTAGCAAGATGTGTGGTGAATCTTTCGAGGTCATAATTAATATGGTTGTGGATAGACATTTAAAATCATGCAAACTCCTGGCAGGTGTTATTTTATTAGATACTAGCCATCCTCTTCACTCTTATCTTTCTCCTTGTATATCTTCTTCTGGTAGAACGAGACGTAATTACATTAATATCCATGCACTCAAGCAAAAGTATGAAATTTCTATAATACCTTACCTAGCAAATATACTCTGTGACGAACAGGTTGTTAGAGTTAACCTAGTCAGTAACCTGCATACTTAACATGTCTTTAGTTTTAAAAGTCGTACAGTTTTTCGGGGTTTTTTTTAAATATTTTTTTGTATTTGTTACTGTGTTTTCTGTTGTTGTTGCGTAAGTAACTTGTTGAAATACCCTGTGCTGAGAATTCTATATTGTACCAAAATATAATATTGAATAAAGCCATTAGTAATAATAATAATTTATTTATAACAATCTACCCAATGCTCAATTTATTCGAAATTAGTAATGATACCCACAAATTCAGTGGTATGTTTCGATTGTTGAAATCTACTAACTTTCCTTCAGTGTGATTTATCGAGATTTGATCAGTTCAAATGTAGCTTTTATTCATTATTGACTAGCATCATCTGGAAGGTTGGATAGAACTAGAAAAGCGAAACACAACTATTACGTCCTAGTATGAAACTCCAAATAAGTACGCATCCAAAATCTTATTAGTTATTGAATCATAGATTTCGGAAGATGGTGAACTCCGTTTTGTATAAAGTCAAAGACAACATGGTAAATAAGACATCGAACTTGGAATGTGATTACCTTCTGGTGATATGAAGTTTCCAATTCTACAGGAATCAACCCGTAAGGTATGAAATAATTCTCATTAGAGCAACTTACTACACTTTTATAGTCACTTATTATAAACTAGTTATTCTTTTCGAAATTTTCCCACTCACTCTTCTAGTTATCAGTATCTGCATCGAAATTTCGAAACAAAATTTAAATCATTCAGTTTATATAAAACTATGAACTTGTTGACAATTCTGATCAAAGAATATTTCTTCTGTATATTTGATGAATGATATTTAGTCATCCTGGAATAATAAACGTTGTTAGAAGAGAGTGTGAGAGAGAATGTGTGTGTGTGTGTAATGTTTTATTTGGTCCCACTGATTAGTCCCATTCTCCTCAACTAATCTACATCTGTGTTACGTAATTATACCAGTTGGTTAACAAAAACGGTTACTTATGGAATTTGATTAAAAACAAGGAAAACAAACAATAAATTAAGGATTATGAGATCAAATGTAAAATTTGATTTTTCTTTTTTTTTCTCTGTCATTCTGACTTTCAGTTTAAACAATATTAGTTATGTAAACATTATGATGTTGTAATGCTAGTTATGTGGGTCAGTGTTACGTAAGAGGGGTTGTTTAGGCAAAAATCATATGAATACGCTCATTTATTTATAATCCTTATTAAACTCAAATTACATGAATATAAGTAGATAGTATGATGTATATTATGTGGATGTGGTAATATTTATGGTCACAGTTCAAGTTTTCACAGTAAGTAAATGAATATTAGCATAACCTGTTTATAATATTTAAAGACAGACAAATATATAGATGGATAGATATAGAGAAAGAGGAAAGATGCAACATTTGATCAGTCGGGTTTTATCTTTCTCACTGGTGAATAATCTTTGCTACACGTGTAGTCTGTGGAATCGATGTCATATGATATGATGGAAGGTTTGTAATGGTCATGGATATAGTTGGGACTTGAATCACTACTACAGTTATGATTATTATTAGCAGTAGTAGTAGTTGTGGTAGTAGTAGTGGTGGTAGTAAAATCAAGAGCAGATTCAGAATAATCTTTCTCGCTATGATCATATGCTAGAAAATTTTTAATTATTTTATCCATTTTAAGTTGTGATGTGAAATTTGTCCAGTTCCGATGATTATCACTTATAGGCATTAGATTTGAAGTGTGAGGAGGATATGGATTTGAGAAAGATAAAGATGTCAACATTGATACTGTTGGTGATGTTAGTGGCGATGATGAAGAAGATATAGCTGTTGATTTCGGTAATAAAGTTGATGATGTCACTATTGATCCTTCTATCTGAGACGATATGTTCGAGAATAAATTACAGTTTTCCATGTTATTCTGAACATAATTACCATGAAATTCTTGTTTTTTGATTTCCGAGGCTACACCGTAATGATTATCTTGATTCTTTTGAATTCTACGACCTGATGTCATATCAATAATTTCATTTATGTTAGATGATGACGATGATGATGAGGAAAATACAATTCCATTCGATGTTAAAGAAATATTGACATTGACGTTGTCTTCTACACTCGAACATCTATCATCGTCTCCTGTAGAACTTTGGCATCTTGAAGATGAATTATTTTGTGTAAATTGTAAATCCGGTATACTGCGCTTTAACTTTTTGTGTTTCATACGTCGATTTTGAAACCAAGTTTTCACCTTTTAAACGAAACATTCAGTTGAGTTAAATTATTTAACATGTAAAGGAAATCATAATGAAATTTGATAAGAAGGCAATTTATTCTCTATTGATACAAGTGCATACTTTATTACTCTACACTTTAGAAAGAATCGTCATCAAAGTCACTAGTGATTAAGTTTTAGGTGGTTATCTTCAAGTTCTAATGGAAATCCATGTCATTTGTATGGGCCAAACATATGAGATGATGACATGGATAACATTGGAGGTGAATTGTGCTATTTATCACAGAAAGGCTAGTGTTAGGAAACATAAAGCACTCTGGTTTCCAATAAAGGGATCTAAATATATGATGCTAGTTGAAGGACTTGAGAGATCTGGACTCAACCCCGTAGTGTGGTTATAATTGTTCGCCGTTCTATAATCCTGAACTCAAAAGAAATTTTTTTCAGTGTTCTTTGTTTCTCCAGTCACGTTAATTAATCGTGAAGTTTTACCAACAGAAAACCTATTAAATAGCTATTTATAAAATTGCCTAACAGTCAGAATGTGTTTTCAGATCACCTGATTGTGAATAGTATCAGTATTTAGTTTTCAGTAGAAACTCCGGACCATTGGATGTAAGATAAAATATTGATAACAACTTAGTCGTTTTCTGGTGCTTAATTTAACCCTCCATCAAATTTTGAGAACGTTATAATCCAAGGCTGTCTTCAGTTAGATAACCATTAAAAAAATGAGAGAACTGGGCAGCCATCTCGACTTGGGGTAAGACTCGTCAGCAATGCTAGCTCACCGTTTCACTATGAATTAAACTAGATTCCTTCAGGTCTTAAGTGTATCAAGTCACTTTTAAAACATATTTACATATTCAATCATTTTGTAATATAGAGGAATGAAACAGGCATTCTCATGCCCCAAGGTCTTAGTGATTGTCTAGATAAATTCAGTCTGTAATTTAAGTTATTCTTAAACTGAACAGTCACTATAAACATACTATCTTGATTATTATGAAAGTTGAAATACCAAACTTTTCAGTTTAATCCGTACATGTATCTAAAAATGTGTATTCTAATACATTAGTTTGATGAAGACAGTAAAGGATTTCTTTTAACAACATTGGCCTATATACGTTAAGTATCGTAATATTTTTATTAAAAGTGATTTAAATAGCTCATTGTCCAGAGTTTAGTAGTTTGGTAAACTACATATTTTTAATAATTGAATTAATGAGTCATTTGAAGCTAGGCCACCATGAAAAATCTGGAAGCACTGGACAGCCTTTTCGTCCCAGTATGAGACTCTTCATCAGTGCGCGTCCACGATCCTGCCTCGCAAGAATCGAACCCAAGACCTACCGGTCTTGAACGCGAACACTTAACCTCTAGATCACTGAACCAGCCGGTATCCAACGGTGTTAATATCTAACTCTAACCAGCCCACGAAATTGCGCGCGCGAGACTGATGGGTCCTGGGTTCGAATTTCGAGGGGTAAGGATCTTGTATGCGCACTGTTCAGGAGTCCCATACTCGACTGAAACGGTCATCCAGTGTTTCCAGGTTTTCCATGGTGGTATAGCTTCAATTGACTCATGAACTTAATTATTATTACTTACTACAATCTCCACAAAACTCCTCTCTGATTATAAATTACATATTATAAAACAATAAAACTGGTAACTCACTTGAGTTTCTGACAAATTTAACCGATTCGCTAACTCAATACGTTCTGGTGTAGATAAATAATGTTGTGTTTCAAAACGATGCTCTAAACCGTTTAATTGATTATCACTAAACACAGTTCGCGCTTTACGACGTCGACATTGTTTCGACGAGATTGTGTTTCTGTTATAAATTTGTATTGAAGAATAACCGGATACTGAAATAAAATTATTTTTAACATAAAAATTAAGGTAAATAAACATTAGTAAAGTGAATGTTTTTCTAAGTTAAACAAAAGTAGTGAATTTTCAGTACCATACAGTAAACTCTGTATAAAATATCATCAGCATGAAGAACTAATGTATAGTGAATTGACTGTTTCGAACTAGATGGGACAATATAGTTATCAGTAATGCCTAGCCTCTATTTCTTCCTACATGTTCTATAAGATTTAGTGGGAAAGTATATCGTAGGTAAGGCTTTATCTTGATATATACAATTTGTATTGATTTAGGTAATATTAAAAAAAGAAGGTCTTGATTGATTCAACTGCTTTCAATCATTTTTCTATAGTATGAAATAATAGGGACTTATTTCAGATGCCTTTTGGTGGATGCAAATCTTATGTATTATATATCGTGTAAATTAGTTACTGAACAAACATACTGCAGTGTTATATAAAGAGAAGGTAAGTAGTGATTCTTTTTTTTACAAGAAGTAGACATTGAAATAATAAAGAAGGTTTTCAGCTTTTAATGACGTTGTGTTCTCTGACCTGTCTGATTTAAATGAGAAATTCCTTGTTGTTGTTCTGGATAATATCGTGACCTGGAATGTCTTTGATTTGTTGGGAACACCTTAAACAGTCTAACTTGTTCACCATCATCTAAATCTTTTGGAGAGTTTATATTCACTAAGATGAATGATTTAATTGTGTATTCTCTGTTGTTTTTTTAGACGATAGTATTATGACATACATTAAAGAACTGAGGGGACCCAACACTTTTAAATTCTTAATCCTGAGATACAGTTCTTCATCATGACAAAGTGAACTTCATTAACAAAGAATAGATTTATACTCTTGGACTAGAGACTTATTCATTTAAACAAATTTGAAAGACATTGCTATGTTTTTGAAGCCAAAATGGATGAAACTTTCATCATTTTGCAAACTAATTATCAAAGGATTTGACTGATATATCCATCAAACTCCTACATACTTTCACCATATCCATAGTACTTGTAGTTTATTCCACTGGTAGGGTTATTTGATGAAGTTTTTAAAGTACATATTTATTGGTACTTATAAAAAAGGTATCATATAATCCAGAACTTAAAGAAAAGAAAGGAAATATTCATTATAAGTGAAATGTTTATCAGAAGATATTTCAACTACATCCTCTTACTTGTCATAAATGTTACGATCTGTTTATATATACCCTTGAACATCAACCCTGGTGTTTTTTTTCATAAGGTTCTTTTCTGTGGGAAGGGTTGCTAATCCCATACCCAGCCGTGCCTTTTTACCCGGGCTAGGGACCGGGGGTAACTTTAAGAGGACTGTAAGCGGAGTTACGCCCTTGAACATATATGTATATATATTTAAATAAAAGAACGAAATGAGGAATCTTTACAATGTTGGATAATAGGTATGATTGTTCAACGGTTAAGATTTTTGAGTAACTCGGAACTTATGCATTTTCCGTCGTATGTTATATGTGGTAGATACGGTGTCATAGTCTTTGTGCTTTTATTTGCCTGCATGAATCTAATTGTAATGAGTCTTGTTCTGTCATAAGATATACAATGAGGAAAGATATGAATGAAGTGGGTGCCTTATTTCTAGTAGAATAACGTCCACTAGTTGATTGTTTATTCACAAAGATATTTATGAAAACATCTCAAGTTCCATCGTTTACCCTAATTATTCTTTTTAATACACTATCCATTAAAGTAAAATCTCCTTTCAAATTTCTTAGGAAAGAGATAATGTAGGACAGTAGATGATACTCAGTGATGTACAAGAATTTACAAATCGTAAAGTTAAATTTCGAATGGCAATCGAAATATGTAGCCGTTTTATACAATAACTTAGACAAAATCTTCAATAACTCAAAAGGATACGCATTTCGACAGTGTATTCAAGTGATTTTCATGTCTTAAACTAAATTTAACAATCTGATATATAGAAGGATTTAATTATGGTGTTTGAATGAACTAATGATTCCATTGTACTTGTTGAATGCTTGATTTCGAACTCTAAATACAGTACATTCGTTTGTGGTTTTCTAGTACTTCTTGATCCGATTACGTTATCTCTGGGATTCTTAGTTCATACTATAATTCAAATACTCGGTATTATCACATTAATGTAAGATCATCTAAAATAGAACATAGTTCATTGTGCGCTAAGTACTCATTGATTTTAAGGGAATTTGAAGCGAAAGAAATTGACATACATATTGTAAGATTGTTCACATATTTAAAAGAAGCGTTCTTATGTAGTAGACGGTAGGTTGTACAGTAAAAATGAGGAAAAAGAAATGAGAAAGAACGGTTCCCTGAGACATACGAGCTTTGGTTATTAAAGATGTAGAACACTTTCCCTCAAACATGGTATATCATTCTCTTCCAGGAAAATAACAACACAATCATTTAGTTATAAAGGTCATGTTGTTCACGCTGGTAAAGATTTTTAGTTATAAAAGTTTTGGTAGCTCATCATTTCTGAGGTGAAATGAAAATATTTGACATGATAAACGATATCTAACACCTAGACTTTGTGAACGATATAATAATATTCTATTTAAAACTACACTTTTCATAAGACTTAAGTCTACTAACCGATATATGAATCTTAATGACAACATGTAATGAATAGCAAGTGACATTTAGTTTGTCATGTTTTATTCTTTAATGTCTGAGCATAGAGATTTTGTTTGTTGGCTCAGATCCTTAGAGACTTCATTATGTGTATTAGTGAATTTTGAATCATGTACAGGATCAGCATGATAAAACACACAGCTATTAGTTAGTTAAGAGTACTCGACAGAGCCAAAACTTTTCAATAGATTACTGTTCGTATTTAGCGGCACAGAAATCAAATGTCACAACTGATCAATACAGAAAACTAAGCAATTAGTTACTTTATGAAACTACAAGTATGTAAAACTAGCATGTTTAAATGTTTTGTTTCTAAACAAACTGTCAACATTTACAGGAGAACATTGTTCAAATCATTTAACTTACCAGGATTATGTAACATAAATGGTAATAAATTATGAGTTCCATATTCATTTGTTAAAAATTCATAAACTTTTTGTGCATATTTTGCATCATTCTCATCCATATTATTATTACTATTATTATTATTATTGGTTGAATAGAATAGGGCAGATTTCAATTCATCCTGTTGTAATTGAGTTTTCAATGAATTATCTTTACTTTCCATATAATCTTTTATTAAATTTTTAATAAATTTCAAATTATCCTCATATTCTTCATTGACTTTGACTGTTACCATATCATCTTGTCCATGATCCTCATCAAGGTCATGAGGGTAGTCATGGTGACGGTACTGATGATGATGTTGTTCATCAGTCAATAATTTTTTTCTTAGATTATTATTCACATCTTTATGATAATATTGTTGAAGATAATGAAACATTTTTGTAATATCTAATTTAGTTTTTAAAGAACTTTGTAATTCAGATGGGATTTCAGTAAGATCTTTACATAAATTTTGTGTTAATTTTGTAAATAATAAAAGTTTTTCTGGATCATAATTATTTAATAATTGAGTAATGATTGTTGTATTTATATTGGACTGATCTTTTTTATTTGGATTTATTGTATCATGAGTATCATTCAATGAAACTGTTGGATATTTTTCCCTGGAATTATATCTGTTCTCTGTTGCTGTTGTTGTTGCCGTCGTCGACGTTGTCATTGTTGTCGTCGTTGTTGTTGTTCTATTTCTTTTTATGGTCAAATCACTTGAAGTATTATCATTATTTGATGAATGTAATAATTGTTGAATATGGAAATTTATTGAAGGTGTATTACTTGATATTGTATTATAAGAATTTGACATTTCTTTTGAACTATTCAATTGGAAAGTTATTGATTCAATATGTGTTCAATAACAATGGCAGTAATTTGAGATCTACAAGAATCGATACATTCAGAAGATACGATTAAATGGAAGGCTGATTATCTGTTTTAGTAATCAAAGATTAAATCTATTTTATATATCATTTTCCCGAACTATTACTTGTTTAAATAATGTAATACCATAAAACAAAATGGCATATAATCTTGGTTTTCATTCGTTTATGATTTTTCTAATATTGAGTATAGACCAATCATATGCTAAGACGTTTTGTCATGTACTGTGTCAGATAAATGATCATTGGGAAGCTGAAAAGACTGAATAGCTGTTTCATCTTAATTTGAGACACTACCTACCTCAACGTCAACTCAATCCGGGATATCCAGTTTTCATGTAGATTCAAGTACTATGGAAACCTTTTTTGGAAGTTCAATAGTTTGAAATTTAGAAGCCAACAATAACTAGACACTAAGTTACCGAAAAAAGTTTTGAGACCCAACTATGTATGGATGACTTAAACTTGAAAAATCAATAAACAACTAGTTAAAGAGATAGAGAAGTCCATCTCACCAAATATTTGGTTTAAAAATGGCTATAGTGGAATCCAAACACTCTCTAATACTTACTGGTTTTCAATAATTCCCTAAATAACAGTAATAATAATGTCAAATTCAAGTTCATTTCTCTAAATCACATAATTGGGAAATAACTAATAAAATGAACAAAATACAATCAACTCATCAACTTACCAGTTTATACTAAATAAATACTTAGTAACGAAGGTATTATGTATAATTATGATAAAGCATGAAAAAAAGAGTAATTTAATAGAATTGTCAATTCAATTTTTCCTCTTAATTACTGGTGAATTATGTTTGTTGTTTTGTCTAACCAACAGTTGGAAGAAATCATAGATATTAATTTCATAACATGGGGTAGTGGAGGGGGGAAGACTAAATATAGACAGAGGGAAGCGAAAGTAATCTCTTAATTCCTCTCGTTTACCCTCGTTTTTTTCTTTTAGAAAGAAAGAAAGAGAGAGATTGTTATTACCCTACATTGTTTCTCCCCCTTCCTTATTTTTATTTAGTTAAAATATAATGATTAATATAAGGGACATAATATAAACTTCACTAATAATTGGCTAAATTTTTAACACTAACTTATTTATGAATGAATAAATTGACTGATTTATGATTGGCTGATAATGAGTTATCCAATTAAATGAAGAGTTATCCTCTTTTTTCAAAATCATTAGAAAGATTATTTTGTTTGATAGAAAATATTAAAATTATGATGATCTGTGATTATTTTATCAATAATTCAGATTACATAACATGTGAAGAAGTTAGACATTAACAATTCTGGATGCCGGCTCAGTGGTCTAATGGTTGTGCTCGCGCGTGAAACCAGTAGGTCCTGGGTTCGAATTCCGCGGGGTGCGGGGTCGTGGACGCGTACCGTTGAGGAGTCCCATACTAAGACGAAACGGCCGTCCAGTGCTTCCAGGTTTTCCATAATGATCTAGCTTCAATTGACTCATGATTTCAACCAGTTAAATTTCTAAAAATCTCCACAAAACCCATTTTGATAATATGATTTAAAATGAACCCTGAAATAAAACTTCTTTAATACTATTAAAGAATATTTGTGATTAGATGGTGGTTGAAGGTAGTCAATAAGAAACCCTGGACCATCGTTTTGAGTCACCTAGACCAGTGGTCACATCGCAACTTGATCGATAACATTCGATCTGCACTAAGAAGGACTTGACACACATGATATTGATCACCACCCAATGATCAATCAATTATGATTAGAGAATATTTGTTTTTGTAGACTGATTTATTCACCGAATATTTAGTCCTTAAAATATGATCGGGGTATATATATGATCTGATACACATTATGAATGAATATCAGTTACATACCTAATGGAATAAGTGAATACACACTTCATCCTAGTATCAGTGATATTAGTTTTTCTATTATAGAATTCTTGGATTATAGACTATTGAGGTAATAAATTCACTTGATGTTATTTTACTTGTATCTTCCCGTTGATGTTTAGGACTGCAATTTATCAGTCTCTTATTGGCATATGTGCATCCTGTGCGAATTGTCTCAATATAGCCTAAAGTCACAAGCTTTTTTAAGCAAAGATAAAGAGTGGCTAGCAGTGGAATCCAGGATGCGCGTTTCGTTCTATTTGGGATTCGTCAGCTGGATATATCTGCATCCTACAGTTGATATTCGCTCTGGGACTCGAACCCAGTACTATTCGCTTAAAATGCCATCGTGTTATCTACTTAGCTACTGATTCCTGATATTAATACTTATACAATAACAGTGTTATAATTGATGGAGATATTATTTATCAGTTTGATATAACAATTTCCTAGCTTTCTATCATTTATAAATGGGCATAAATAGATGAAAAACGTTTGACATCTAGAAATGTATTTATCTTTATCTTTTCTTTCTAGAGTGATATGAACACATAATGATCCGACATCCAGCTCATAGGAATACTTGAAAATGTCGAAAAAATCAACCCATTCTCTTTTTGTGTATTTGATAATGTAAAAATTTGTTGATCTGATTATTACTTTTTAGACACTTCATTGTATTATATACATTAATCTACATTCATATCTTATTCACAGTATCCTCTACAAAATATACGTAAGAGTATAGTGGGGTTTTAAACTGTTATTGAATACTTCAAGACATTGTCTTTAACTTGTGTTTAAATCTTTACCATTAATGGCTTCATATATAAAGTTATCATTTTGATTAAAAATGATTAAATGGATCAATCTCTTGAGTTGTGAATAATTTGCTTGTCAATTAATAATAAGTTTACTAATTTCGAATGTATAAAAGGGATACTACTGATAAAGTAGTTTAAACTATATTCTGAGTTTGAAGAAAACAAGACAAACGAGTGTTTCCTTCTCAGTAGTAAGGTGTTCTTGATTTTAAAAAAGAAATTTATTAAGGAAACTAAATGATTAAAATAAACAATGAAGTAATTGTGTATGTCATGCCAATTCAATTTGCCTCATCATACATCAGCATAGCGAGACAGCAATTGATAAGTTAAGCTATGGTTTAATCGATTGGAGTGAAATTGACATATGCCACATGTATTTACACCCTAAGAAGATTTAAAGATGCTTTGTTGTATACTGTAGTGGTTTGCATAGTAAGTTATTGAATTATTATTGTTAGATACAACTCTATTTAATTTATACAAACCTGAATGTTAATCTACCTGTCAATAAATCATATCAAAGGTGACGCATTCATAAATCATTTAGATTTACTTTGAGAGTCAAATAAATCTTCATCAGTAAACTTTTACTTTTGCAGTTTGATGTTGTTAGAAGCAGTTGAATAAATCAAATCGAGTTTTTAATTAGCAGACTTATCAGGAATCTTACAAAATGTTTAACAGAATGGGAGAAATAATATCAACTTTGGCAAGAAGTCAATCAAGAGAGACATATTTTAAAAAGAATGTATGATGTTGAAATCAAAATATGGGGAAACACTACACAGAAATGCAACTTCACCGCACTGACTAATTTTCAAGTATCTTATTCGGTATTAAGATCTACGAATCACGTGTATCTAACGTACCTCAACTAGGCCTACCCTACTGGTTAGCGATTATATGGATTAATGACATTTTATTCATTAACCGTCTATAGCATTCTTCGAGCCTACTACCATTCTATACCATCTGTTATTGTACTTTGAATAATGAAATAGCCAGGTATATGGACACATATTACATATATTCTTCATAGATAATATTGTAATCCCTAATAAATGTGTTCACAATGAGTCTGAAGCTTCTACTTTCGGTCATCGGTAAAAAAAGTTCGTAGGTGCAACCTGATGAGACATATAAAACAGGAAAATATACAGTAATAAACCACACTAACCACTGAAACATCTTAATACCTTAGAGAATATCACTGAATTCACAAACTTGATAATATAATTACAAAATATTTAATGGAAAAAACTAAGAAAGAACACTCAAAACTACAAATATTTTTTTCAGAAGGGGTTTTGTGAAGATTTTAGTCATTTTAAAGTTGGACCCATAAGCCAACTGAAACTAGGCCATAATGGGAAACCACGAAGCACTGGAAGACCGTTTCGTCCCATTATGGGGCTCCTCAGCAATGCGCATCCACGATCCCCTCTCCCCAAGAGATTCGAACCCAGGACGTATCAGTCTCGCGCGCGGACGCTTAACCAACCGGCAACCAGAACTGTTAATGTCTAACTTCAACCAATCCACGAGATTGATCCACCGTCTACCATTGTCTTCAATGAGTTACTATCTCACAACAGACCCGATTGAACTCCATGGGTCGCTGGTTCTCATTAGAACTCCAGGAAATACCTCTTGAAGCCAGTCGTTAGTGAGCATACGACGATTATTATGGGAAGGGGTTTTGTGAAGATTTTAGTAATTTAAAAAATAAATAAACAGAAATAATCATTATTTCAATTACAAAATTTTAGAAAAATAACGGGTGATAATTTCGCAACCAGACAATATTAATTGTCTTCATTCTCCTTGAAGAGAAGATAGAAAATAAACACTAAGTGTTCGTGACTCAGTATTTTCGACTTTCGGTGCATACATCATAATTCCCTCTCTCTCTCTCTAATAATTAATTAATAAGTGGTCGTTTTGCGAACGATTTCACACATACTACTATTGTGAGTAGTATATGCTAACGACGTTGGTAGAATTGTTTATGTATGTATATTAATTTGATATCTAGAATATAAATGTATAGAAAATATGAAAAAGTGAGTTTTAAAAAAAAGTTTTAGAAACAAATTAAACATCCCATTTACCCCGTCACCCCCCCCACACTCACCAGTATATACATATATGCATTTTCTGACTTCTCTTATTACTTACTGTTTTTGTGAAACACGCTCATTTTGTATTAATTCGCTTATATGATTGTTTTTTTCCTCTTCTTTTTCTTCTCTCGCCTAATTACAAAAACATGCAAACTTCAAATTGTGTAATAGTGTCGTTTTCTTTCTTTCTTCTTCTTCTTGTTCTTCTTTTCATTATTATTTGATTTTAATTAACATTTCGTGTCTCATCAGTTGATATTTTCAATGTTTTCATATACATTCATGTGTATTGATGTATCCAATAAATTCTCATGTTGGTCCATATTAATCCATTTTCCCTCTATCCCATGGTATAAATCTCATGTTGATTAAATACACTCAACACTTGGTTGGTGTTATTTAATTCATTTATTCATCATTTAGTTTTCATTTTCCGTAATTAAAATTATTTTATTTTATTTGTAATATTTAAATTAATCGTTCTGTTTCGAGAATAAACACACGCATTATGTAGAATGAAGACAGTTTAATGAAGAACCTCTTATAACATACATATACACACACACACATGCACACATTTAGATGAACAAATAAATGAATAAGAATTGTTACTTAGATATTTTAATTAATAAATCATTTAATCAAATCAATTTTCCTTTTTTCATTCTTTTTTTCATTATTAATTTTGTTTTGTTTGTTTTTGCTTACACGTTTTACTTCGTTCTATCTAAATTTTACTTCTGGTGATGGTGGTGGCGGTGTTGTTGTTGTTGTGCTTCTTTACTTATGGAATGTTAAACAATCTATTAAATAGATGCCAAATAATTAACATCCATTAGTGATTATATCAATATGCCGTGTACACCTTATGTATGTATATATTCATCGTTAGCTCGTCCATCTCTCTCAATTAAATACTAAACTTATATCATTTAATTAGGGACAAAATGTCGGTTAAGACTAATCATGAAAATACTGATAGTTGTCGTGGGAAAGAATGTGAAAGGAGAATAGCATAATTATAGCGAAATATACCGCATAATTATACCAACAATAATAATTAAGACAGTTCTGTTAATATGGTTTTTTCTTCATTAAATATATCAAATAGAAAAGTAGATATGGAAAAGAGTGTTGAACAGACCAGTATATGAGAGATATGTTGGTTAATTATGATAT